TGCGGAGAGGCTCGGTCCCCAGGCCTTCATGAACCTGTCCCTCTACCACCTCTGCCCCAACCTCCCTCTGGTGGCCATCATTGGCAGCCAGAGCTCTTCGGTTGGAGGTGTTGGTTGAATTCGCTGGTTGAACCATTTTTGTTCGCGTTTGTTAATCGGGATGACTTAGATAGTCCTTTCCCACAGACGGCGCCAAATGTTTATGCAAAGATATGCATAACTGTATCTTTCCGAACCTAGCTCGAACCCGGTCTCCGGTTCGACCTGAACACCTGAGTGGGCCTGCACAAGAGGGTAAGCACTCCGACGCTCAAGTCAGTATAGGTCGGACTCTCAATTTAGTTCCAGGTTCGATTTCATACCTGAGTGTGAAATGAAGTCTTCTATTTATGGGTGGCATACCCGACAATCTCGCGACGGTTACACCCGACAATCTCGCGTCCGACGGTTACTCCCGACAATCTCGCGACTGACGGTTACTTATCTTCTCTCACATCRGACCTGTCGGGACTCACGGTAGGTCGGACCCTAACTAGGTCGCACCTCGGCCTTTACATTTAGTCTCACCAATGGTCGCCGTCGAACTTCTTAGCGGCTCGGGGTGGACCTGGCCCTCCAATCATCTTCAGAGTACCAATGGCTGTCCTCCACGTGTTCAGGGTATTTTACCCCCAAACATTGGCCCCCTCTCTGTCAGGTTCAATCTCGATCTGGCAGAGAAGTTCATTCGACTTTATCTTGGACACGTGGCGACTTTTAATTTGTTGAAGGAATTTGATCGTTGGGGAAGGCAAATCGATCGGAGCATCTAAGTTTTCCGTCGTTTCGTCTTTCAAGACAATCTCAGCCGCTCGTTGATTACACATGTACGGTGCAGAGATTTTTCCGATGAGCTATAAATAGCTCCGAATCTTCAGGTCATTCTCTACGCTTCCTGAATTCTTGGAGTTCGATCTGAAGGCAGCTCGAACCCTCGGTAGGTCGATTTCTTTCCCCTTTTCACTTTCTTTTTTCAAGCGTAGTCCTCATGTCTTCCTCTTTTAGCGATGATAGCTTAGGGTCCGACGAGAGTGGAGCTGGCCCTCGGGTGGTTTTCTTGGAAGCTCCACCTCAGCCTCGATGGGCCTTGGATGGCTTTGGGTGT